TCTAAGCATTTTTGTGGTTTCCTGAAAGTCTCAGAGATTAGTCACTGTGCATATTTATATTCTCCTGTGAGGTAAATTGAGATCCTGCTAGAATCATGTCCAGTGTAGTTACCTCAGTGTAATGCTGACAAGTTTTTCCCATGTGTCTTGGAGTGCAGGCTGCCCTTGATGGGCTTGTGGCTGTTCCATGTGAAATTCTGCTTCAAGAGTGCTTCTTTGGTTCTGGAAAGTGCTTCTTTGGTACTGAGGCCAAAGAGCTCATGAGCTTTGTGAAGTTTGCAGGAGCTGAGTGGACTCAAAGTGTTCTTTGCCCTTTCTCTGCAGTTTACTCTGAGCCTGGAGAGATAAGAAGTGGCAGAGAAGATCACACAATCTTTTAATCAGCTGAAGCCTTCCTTGTGCCAAATAAGCAACTGATGATTAAAATCTATTTTATAGTGCAGTTGTGTCACAGAGGAACACAGCCCATACTGGTTACTATGAAAAAAATCAATTCTACTCCAGCCAAAACCAGCACACAGTGACTAACAAACTTTATTTCATTTTGTAAAAACCCAAATAATATTGGAAATCTAAAATAATTTAGGTTAAAAATTTACTTACAATGGAATCTCAGCTGGGATTGAAATACTGTTTATTGGAATACTGTTCAGTAAAATCCTGTACAGTACTACTGAGGGATGGAAAACATTGTTCCCATAGCTTCCTTGCTAAATGTAAAAATTAGATCAAGTGTACTGTGACAACTTCTTTATTATGAATGCTGTAAAACTACTCTCCATGAAGTATGTGAGGTAATATTTTGCATTATCTTCAGCTGACCAAATTTAGTGCAATTGCAATACTAATTTCCTGTAAAATAGCAGGTATCTGAATAATGGACCTTAATTACCATTAGAATGAGGTCATAAAGCACAAAAGCATTGATAGAGCAAGTGATAAAACTACATCTGGTAGAATAATCTCATTCTCCAGAATACAGAGCAACCAGCAATTAATGTGAATAAGAAATTCAGTTCTGTTGTGGCAGGAGGTCATTTCATGAAGGTGTTTATCATGTCTTTTCTGCAGATTTTCCTGTTATGGCTGTGTTGCAGTTGGCAGCCATGTGCTTCAGTAGCTGTGGCATTGAGTGATACAGAAAGCTCAGTTTTGGCCTCCCACCTCTCCAGAGGTCAGTTAAACTGGAATGAGAGTTTTTGACTGACTTCTCACTGAGTGAGGGAACAGCTGCAGAGTTCACATCTGACATTGTCTGAAACAAAAGCCAATTTCAAATTTGCCTTGGAATCATGCTCCTCTCAAGTATTTCTGGCTCTTAGTTTTTCTGCTTTTTTTTTTTCAGTGAATCCCAGTGAATCCTTGTAGCTAGACTGGAATACAGAAACAATGGTTTAGTTTCAGGACTGACTACTAAGACTTTACACATTTTCATTTTGTGAGACTAAGTGTATGACATATCCACAATTACTCTATTTAAGAGTTCCATTTTTGACTGCCTGGACAGCCTTTGCTTTCTTAAATCAGAAGGAGGCAAAAGTGGGATTTTATTTTTCTATGCATGGTCATAACAGGAGGAGGGCAGTTAGAGGCAGGCAGAATAAGTTTCTGTCGATTTAAGAAAACCCAAACCCAATTGTTTTAATAGTGGAAACATTTGCTGGTTACTCATAATCAAATTTTAGTTATAAATAGGAGTTATAATGAATGCTAAAAGAAATCAGAGGATCAAGAAGGAAGATAATTTTTTAAGCTGTAAGGAGCAAAGGAAAATTGGACAGTCATGACACTGCATCCTCTGCAAAAATGTACTTCCTGTGCATTTATAATTGTTTTATTATTACATTAGTAATGTTTGAATAGAACTAGTCTCCTTTTCTATTATAAAACTCTGTCTTAATCTGGCTAGTTGCCAGAGAGTGGCTTGCTTTTTGTATGGCTTCCATTCTTCAGTTCTCTGTTATCAGCCCAGCTCCTGAGCTATGCCACAAACAACCTGAAGTCTTTCAATAGATGTTTTCAGAAAATGATGTGGTTTAAACACTGTCTTGCTTTAAGAGGCAAATGAATTACTGGAAGTGCATTCAAAGCTGGAATTTGAATAGACATATAATTTCAGGTTATAGTTTATATGTTGCTGATAATTACAATCTATAATTGAAAAGTGATTACTAGTAATTTATTATTTACACTCCAGAGTTTTAATAGTGGGAACAAGGAATAACAGTAAGCTGGTCATGAAAAACTTGAGCCACAAAACAAGAGACCTGAGTTGAGAGTGAAGGTATGAATGCCCATTAATTCAATATTGAGTTTAGACACTAAAACTTTGAATACTGGTGGGGTTTCTCAGCTGGAATAACCTCTAAGTGAATGATTTCTCTGCTGCAACTTATTTGTGTTCCATCGATGATCAGATAAGAAAAAAAAAATTAAGTGATGTATGAACAAATCTTGTTACGTTATGTGGAATGGATGCTTGTCGGTTCAGAGTATGTTAAGGGCAAAACTCATCCTCAGGATCTGAAAGCAAGGAATAGTTATGTGGCTCACTTTGAAGTGCCTGGAAAGAAACTCTTCTGACAGCAAACCTGCTCATCCACGTCTGTAAGCTGTGAGCCCAGAGCCCTCTGGTGTTGCCAGAGGTGTAACAAACATCAACCATCGACACCAGCACGGCTCAGGGTGACCTGCAGGTATTCTGACCTGTCAGAAAAGACCTGCCAAGCCAATCATTTTCTCCCACCCAATCATTTATTGACTCTATTATTTATCTATGGTTTTAAAAAGTGGTAATTCTTTTGACAAAGATAAGTGGCATAGTTTATCCTAGCTTTTAGGAAGGTTTACTTTGGAGCTATTACCCAATATGTGCCTGTGCCAACTCAGAGCAAAGATAGGTCCTGTGTAAAGGAAAATTTAGGAAGAATGTAAGTCTGCTCTACTACATCCATTGCAGTGCTGTGGTTTATATGTACTGCATGTCTTCTTTCAAGATCTTTCATTTTGTCTTTAATGCCCAAAACATGTTGTTCCCTGTCCTCCTTTTGAACTGAGGGTTCCCATTTGCTCTTTCCCAGCACTGGGACTGCATCTGTGATAGAAATCCTTCCTTCTCCAAGGCAGGGTCTCCAGTACTTCCTCAGCCACAGCCTTGGTGTGCCTCCATGATTTATCTTGGCTCATGTTCCCTTGCTTCCTGTCTCCCCATGCCAGGACTGGTCTGTCAGTGCTCTTGCTTCTGTTTTTTCTTTCTTTCTTATGCCACCAAACTCTGCTGTCCCTGCCATTATCACCTGTCTTTCCATGTGCCACATGTCTCCCCTTCTCTTCTTCCTCATTGTATTATTTTTTTCTCTTTCAGTGTGTGAAATGGCTGGTGGTACAGACTTATTACACACAGGGATCTCCATGAAACAGGATACCTTCTGGGATGCTGAAATACAGGCTTTGTATGGGAAAACAACTAAGGATCTTGAAGCAACACGCAGGAAATTCTGCCATTTCAGTAGCTCAGTGGTGAGCAAGGAGCTGTTGTAGACCAACAAAGTGCATAATAATTGATTCTCTATAATAGACTTTATTTCCCTTCTGTAGAACGAACAGGAGAAGAATCATTTCCTAGCCTGCAAGTCCAGAAACTCTGTGACACACGGAACTAGTCGTGAATTCGGCAGCAGTTCTGCATTGGGAAGCCGGGCGGGCTAGTTGGGAAGGGAGGAGCAGAGCAGTGTGCCACCTGGGGGCCTGGCTGGGCAGCAAAAAGAGCCCAAGGCGTGGAAAAACTGTCAACAGGAAGCTGGGACGGAGCTCGGGATTTCTGCCAGCAGGAAGACTGGTGGTGTTAGTGTTTCCCACGGAAAACTCAGTGCCCGCCTCTGAAGGGGGAGCTACAGGGGTGGTTACTGTCCTGTAAAAGAAAAACAGGTGTGAGAGCAGCCGAACTGCTGCAGGGCACCCTGTTACACCCTCTGCTGAGCCATCCAAACTGTAGGGTAGGAGAAAAGTTTAGTAAAACAACTTCAGCTTTTTACTGTTGCCCTTACAAATCCTAGAGCAGTTATTCCTAGGATGTTGCCTGGCACTATACAATGTACAGTCAGAGCTGTGGTGGCTGGTTCAAAGTGCCCTGTTACTAAAGCTAAGTAGTGTAAGAAAAATTCCACAAATTCCAGAAGTTTATGCCCAAAAAGGAGACCAAGGAGTCCTGCAATTTTATTTGAATAAAGGGAGAGAGTCTACCACAACACACACCTGTGGCGTTTTCTCCCTGGAGGTTTCAGAGGGGTCACCCTCCTTCATCCTCAGCTCCCAGCTGCATGTTCCCCTCTCCCTTTCCCCACTGGCTGAGGCACCAGGAAGGTTCAGCCTTCCAGAACCACTACCACATATCCCACCTTGAACCTCCCATTTTACCCTAGAATTCAGGAACTCGGGCTGTGCAGACCCTTGTCTGTTCCAGGAGCAGAACTGCCTGGGCTCTGCCACAAACCCACTGCCCAAAGGCAGGAGAGACTCTGGGACCCATTTCAAAGACCTGAACACCCAACCTTCACCCAGCAAATTGTTTGTAAATACGAGAGCGTTCCTCTCACAACAGCCACATAGATTTACAACAGTGCAATTTCAGAGACTTATTTATGTTGCAGTGGTCTCTGAACCATGAGACAGACTGGTTTGAAACACTCTGGCTAGTTTATGGCAGCCAGGTGAAGAACTTTCAGGGCTACAAAACATGCGCAGACTCAGAGGGGTGCTTGATTTCTGAGAGTTCACTAAATTATAGCAGCTGAGGTGATGTGCTTGGAACACTTCCAAATGTTTGGGTTTGAGTGTTTTTCATTGAAAGCAGTGTCAAAGCTCTATAGGGTGTTAGGTACCACATTGACTTTTGACCTGGAACTATGTTTTATGGACCCAGCAACTCTCCTGCAAGGGATTCACTGAAAAGTCAAAGCAGACATGCTGTAAAATGCTCAAAATTTATTAATCATAATTGCTTTTTTCGTGTCTTAAGGAACAAAAATAAAATAATATTCAAAACCAAAAGAAAATATACCATACCCAGACAACATGACTGAGAATAAGAAACGGGATAACATTAATTCTGAAAGAAAATTACCTAATAAATCAGTTTTCAAAAAAAAAAAAAGGTAATAAATAGTAGTGTTCCAACTTTTTAAAGCTTCCTAGGAAAGAATTTACAATTATTATTATTATTATTATTATACTTTTGTTTAAAAAAATTCCTTCATATGCCTCTGTTGGCAAATATATATATATTTCTTCTGTAAACATTTAACCACAAAACAAAATTAAAAATCCATATTTTCATACAGCTACTATGCTGATGGTGTTATGTAAACAAAAAGTAGTGTGCAGCAGCTTCTTACAATAGGATTTTTCCTTTTCCTTACAAAAACCTGTAGGGAAATATGTCTGTTATAAATTGTTCAAAATATTGAAGTTTATCATTTTGAAAATATATGGCTTTCTGCTCTCTAAGTTTTCCTCAACAAAAAACAAGAAACATATAGAAGCAGAGGGGTACAGTTTTCCCTGGGTTTGACTTGTTTTCTGGATTTGCCTTTTGATTTTTCCTGGTGAACTGGAATGAAAATGTTATTAAAAGTCCAGCATGTCACTGAAGACAAATGAACAGAAAATGTCAAGATGAATTTACACCTCTCAAGGTGTAAAAGAAAAGATGTAAAAACCAATGGGAGATACATTGATAACAAAAGCTGAAATTCTGTAGACAGACATACTGAGGGTTTATGCAGAAAACATCATCTGTTCATCCAAAATTTTAGCTGCTCTTGACACTTTTGTATTTTTTGAAGTTTCTTTATTTAGTCTTATGCTCAGCCCTTGTTTGAGGACTTCTCTCTAGTTCTAATTTTTGACATTTGCTTGCTCCTGAGAGGTTTTTGTCTGCTGTGTCTCCTGTTGGGTGTTGCCTTGGGTAATGCACTCAGCACCCACACAGCTGCATTTCTCCACGTAGGTGTAGGAGTGATCAAGGGAGGTTCCATCACTGCACATCAGTGTCACCTTCCTCTTGCTGGTCTGGATTTCCTGACAACACGAGCATTTGTGCACCATTGTGTTTGTCGTTTGAGAATATCTGATGGAAAAACCAATGAGAAAGATTCAAAATTTATGTGAGAAATAACACTGCCCCTGCCATCCATTACAAAACCAGAAGTCATGCACTTGCATGTGGGACTATTGCTCAATATTAGCATTCTTACAGTATTGTGGTGAAAAACAGATAAATTGCTCCTCATTGTAAAATTTTATGACTAAGTCTTCATTAAGGCACAGAAAAAGTCAACATTTATTCCAGATCACACAGCAAGCCAGTCCAGTGAGATAATAATGAGAAACAAATAACCTCAGTTTTAAATGGGCAAAATTAAAATTTGGGTCTATTCACTATGATGCTGAACAGGCTGTTGAACACTGAATCTCAAGGAAATCAAGCTCACACAATGTCATGTTAATTAGCAGAATGGAAACAGTTGATGATGGAGTGGATGTTGGACACATCAGAAAAACACTTGTGATTTGCTTGATTTAACTGGTGTAAAGAGTAGAAGACAAGAGGCCACAATTATCTTTTATGCCACTTACCGTGAGTAAGCATCACAGCTGCCTTCACAGTATGTGATCTCAACAGGTGCAGGAGATACACAGCCATTGTAGTTGATGACAGTAGTCATATTGTACTTCATGCAAACTGAGGTCATCACAAAGCAAAGGAAAACAGGTTAAAATACGTATGCATATGAATAGATGGCTGTATATGATAAACAGTTTGTAACTGAAAACTAAGGTGGACAGGGCTGAAATAGAAAACTAAGGCACAATGTATTTTTCTTTTAATTGCTGAGGGCCAAATGAAGACTTGCTGTTTGTGTTATCATTTCCCTTTTTCTTAGGCAACTTGATTCAGAATGCAGAAATTAAGAGCAATACTGTGGCAACTGCTCAATGTGCACCCATCTCTCAGAATTGGTTTCACTTTCCTCCTTAAAGAGAATGTATCTATGGAAATTGGAGAGTAGTCATAGTCCTCACCCTCCCACAAAAAAAGCCAGCATTTAACAGAAGGGGATGGGAGAGTTCATCATCTGTTTCACTAGGACCTAAAATGCACAGTAGAAATGTCCTGTTCCTTTCTTTTCCACCTGTTTCCTTTCTCACCCCAGTGAAGCAGTGAACCCAGTGAACCACGGTCAGTGGTCAGTTCACCTCTTCTGTCTATGCACCCATTGTGCAAAATGGGCTAATATACCTAGCCAGGCACATATAATCAATACTTTTAACAAAATTGTTATTACTTACGTTTTGGTACTCTTCGGCACACTAAACAGCAGCCATCATCAGATAACCTGATATCATCCTGAAGTTGGAAAACACAAAAAGATAACTCGGGTTTCATATCTGCATGCTAAAGCAGACTTTCCCTGCTTCCTGATTTTCTCTGGCACCAGAGACTGTGTATATTTTTGTATTGCCACGGAATCTAATTTCAAGCAAGGCTAAATATTAAGGGCACATAACTCTTATTAATATTAAAATAGCGATTTGAAAGTTGAAATGGAGGAAAACCCTCCGTTTAGTAGTATAATTTCAGCAAGCAATAAAGCTCCTAGCACACGTAAGTCAAAATATTGTGACCAAAGTCAGTAAAGGTAAGGGATTATAACAGACAGGGTAACACAATGAATGAAATAAGTGACTTGGCAGAGGCTGATTTTTGCTTCTAAGTCACTTGACACTTTAATGAATCCAAAATATCATGCTTTTCGCTAATGTCTGATCCTCAGTCAGGATTTTTGTGACACTCATTTTTATTTTGAGTTGCTTTTCTGAGATAAAATTTGACTGGGACCAGGTTCAGAGAGGATAAAAGGAGAGCTACTTCCTGCATGGTGCTTCTGCTAGTTATTTTCATTGGACACTATGATCCTTCTATCACTGGTGTTAGGCACTGCAACCTTTCCAAAAATGAGAATGGGTAGAACAGTACTTACTGGATCACACTCATCATAGTTAAAGGCAGGACAGCTTGCCTCTTTGATGACTTGAATGAACTGGTCAGCATGTTTTTCACATGTGTAAACAGTGCAGTTATCATCAGGTGGATTCCAGTGTTCTCCTTCCTGAAAGTAGTCAAAGTGAATTCAAATTAAAATCTTCCTATATCAAAATGAAACAAAAGCCCCCCAATGTCTTATTTTTGCTGCGTATAGTAGTGTGATTATTCTGAACAACTTCCTTGAATTCCAGCTGATAATTATTTGCCATATTATCATACCGCTATTAAGTGTTTTTCATTAACCAGTTGAAGAGACTATTTTTATATGGATGTAGAGGTGCTTTTTGTGTGAATAGGGTAAGTACATGGACTCATTTGGAAAGAAAGATTTGCATTTCAGTAGTTTTGTCATTAGAATTTATGGATGTGTCAAAATGCCTCCACAGATAAAATTATCCTGTGAGCAAAATGGGTGCTACAATTTCAGAACTGGAGGCAAACAAAAGCCCTTTGCTTTCACCTATGTATATTCCTATGTTGATTTCTGAAAGCTGTTGTTCAGTATCATAGCACAGTTGCTTCCAGAAGCCTTAGAGCTGGTGTTTTATGGTGTAAGGTATTGTTTAGTCTGAGTGGAGATTGTCCAGCCCCTGCCTGAGTAAGCATTTGTCTAATATGAGAAAAGATGGAGGAAATAACTGTGGCAAATACAAGGAGAGGAAAGAATGGAAAGACTAGCAGAGTTTCCCAAAAGTGAGGTAAACCAGAGGTAATTACATGGAGCACATGTGTAATGTTGTCTCCCACAGTCACTACACAAGCTGCTGCCTTGCACGTGCCACAGCACTGTCCGGGTTCCACGGTGTATTTGTAGCCCTGTTTTGAAAGAAATAGAGAGACAATGGCATTAAGTTGGGTCACTGACCTGAACTGGTGGTTATTTGAGCTGAGGGGAGTAAGTGTTTCTAGCAGCACTCACCAGTGGGCAGTATGTGTCACAGATAATAGGCTGGCATGTGACCCTAAGGTGGTCAGGCCTTGAGGGAGAGGATGCAGAGCAGGTACATTCTTCACAGGGGCCTGATGGAATGGCAGCTCCAGGCTAGGGCAAGTTGGAAAAACCCATTATTAGTCAGTTAAAACAAGTTGTTCTGTGCATACACATATACATGAACTATGTATAGGCTAAGCTATCCATAAATACAATTTTGGTTGTTTTATTTAAGCAGAGTTTCTGGTTTGGTAATATCAATTTTGGAATCAAATTCTGCTAATGTAGAAAGGAGAGCAGAACATGATTTTGTTTGTAACAGAGGGTGTTAACCTCAGTGGAATAATTAATAATGTTTTATCTCAGGCCTTCCTACAAAATATGGACTATGATGTGTGTCTCAAAAACACTGCACTGCAAACTATGTGAGGGTATGTTTTTATAGTGAGTAACTCTGTGTACTTACTGCATAATAGGTTTCGTTGACTATACAGCCCTGTCCTGTAAAGAAGGAAGAAGGAGGTGTAAGTTTTAGGAGCCAGAAATGCATGAAAAAACTTCTGTTTCATAGCTTTGTAGGCCCATTTCTTAAGCCTGTGGCAGTGGCCTTAAAATACTCATTCATGACAAGACCCAATATGATACCACAGATAACTTACATCTCTCTTATAAGGTTTTTGTTATTCAGAAAAAATAGCACATGAGGAGGATGCACAATACTTACTGCATTCAAAGATAGGACAGCAGTTTCCAGGTGGCATTATAGTGATTATTTCCTGTCCCTCTAAGCACTGGGGTGTGATGTCAGTGCAGAGGCTTGTGTTGCAGTCTGTTTCATGTAAGAGAATATAGAAAATAATTTGCTCAAAGTTTCTGAATTAAAGCAATTTTGTTTTACATGAACTTCTGAAGTCTTCCCATGGGGTAGATATGGTGTTTACACAAGATAGTTTAATGAATAATCCATTCTATGTGCCAAGGTATTTTCAACGTGATCAGGCTTTCCCGTAATCTTTGTGAAACAAAACATTGAGAACAACAGAGTAGTAATTGCTGGAAAGAGATAATTTCAAAGAGAAATTTGTACCGGTGGGGAAATCTGATGACTCTCTGGTCTGATAACTGGTTCTGGAACTTTCCTGAACAATTTTTAAATAGCCAGGACTATTTTTTTAAGTTAATTTTCCTAATACTTGTCTTTGAAATTGAAATTTTTTAAAATGGTTTTTGAATATTGTTTCAGATAGTGGCAGTATTAAATGCTTTCAATGTTAAATTATAGAAGATTTTCAGTTACTTTTCTATGCCTAACTATATAAAATCCTTTAATCTTTACATTTGTTATCTTCAGGCATTTACTGTATGCTCTGCAAGAAGGCTCTAAAAAGCAGGGTGAGGCATCAATGCAAAATACTAAAAAATGTGAAATGATTGCTGTAGTTTCCTAAAATTAATATAGCATATTGCCCATGATAAAGATCAAAGACAGTACTCACAGCACTCAGTCCTAGTACAGCATGGATCTTCTGGTATTGGTATCTGAACAGGCATGTAACCTGGTTCTTCACAAAATACTTGCTGTGTCAGAGAACATTCGTGCTTTGTACACTTCACCTTAAGAGTATTTTTGTCACAGACACATTCCCGGCAGTCTTTTGTCCATTTTTCTCCTGGCTAAATAAAAAAGAAAAACACAAAGGAAAGGAAAAAATTATTTTTGTTTAATTTTATATTTAATTTTATTTGCTTCTAGCTGACGTATTCGTGTATACAGTGATAACTGATTATATAATTTTTTCATATTTTAGATTTTATAGGAGACCCTCAAACTGCTTATTTGGGGAAGACATTGTAGGCCACTAAAGGTTCTGAGTTTACAAAGCTATTACTTTCTATTTGTTAATAATATTAGTATGAGGGTTACAGGAGTTCTAAAGGAGAAGTGATTGAGCCTCACATCCATTTTTGAATAAGAAATGATCATATGACATGTTCATTTTCTCATTAGGTTGCTGATTTCTGTGCAGCTGAGGAACTAAGAATGCAAGGTGTGAATATGATAAGCAACAGGTAAACTCTCCCTTAATTTTTAGTAATTTTAGCAAGCTAAATTTGTGGAAATAAGATAAGCATAATGCCTAACTTCCACTACTACCATCTCTCTTTCTCACTCTTTTTTTAAAGTTTTTTTTTGCCCTGTATGTGAGGTTATTGAAAGAATATTTTATCACTTATTGTTAAATTACTTAGGGGTGCTCTAGTACTCATTATTTTTAAGACTGAAAGTGAACAGTCATTTGTGACAAAGGTTTGGTTTAGTGGAACACTAAATATTATCTTGTTTCACTTATCTGTGCTCATTAAGCCACACTCATTGCAATACTCACCCATCTGGACATTCCATTTGGTTCTCTACAGACTAGAAAGAAAAAGAAAAAAAGAGAGAAACGAATGGATATTTACACCACTGGAAACTGACAAAGGAGTACATACATGCAGTTTCAAATAAATTATTGCGAAGATATAGCTAACAAGAAAATGAACATGCAGACTAATTTTGCTGAACTGTAGAATTCTATCATCTAGTGGGTCTCACATAAGGAATGATGATGGGGAAAAAGGGAAATATTGACTATTACTCAATTTATAACTGGGGACACTCAGGGAAGCTGATGTGCAATGATCTGGCCATGTAGAAGATGACCATAGAACTCAGGCCTCCTGACTAACAATCCCTATCTCTACTTATTCCCCAGATTAGCTACAGATGACTTACAGCATTCAGAGACACAGATGTTGCTCTCTGCATGCAGGAGTGTCATTCCTTCAGGACAGAAACAGCCTTCAGTTACTCCATAGCCAGGACGATCATAGCTGGAATGGGAAGAGTGTATGTGCTTGAACACAACACTTTTGTGGTGAGGCAGAGGGCAGAGCAGTGTGTCATGTCAGATGCAAGAGAGACAAAAAATGTACACTTTCTGAAGGGCAACAGGAAGCATCTGTTCCTAGAGCTGATTGGTATTTATAAATAATATTTGTTTATATTATCAATATCTTGAATAAGTTAGTGAAACTCACAACATATTTCATTGTGAAATAAATTTCTGAGGAAAGTAGATAGATAAGAAAAATATAAGCAGGTGCTTCAGGGTGTGCTATTTTTGTTTTTCCATACCTTTGGTCACAGGTAACTGGATTAATGGGCCCACACGGCTTGTATACCATGCTTGATGGGCAGCTGAATGCTGTATGGAAAAAGACCAAAAAAAAAAAAGATTAAAAATTGATAGCAGATGCATTTTTTTCAGAAAAAAATTACTACAGCTTTGCCTTCTTAATCTGCAGCTTCTGTGAGAAAGAACCCCACTGGGTTTTTGTAGACAGTAACAAAGTTTCAGATATGACGTGATTAGTGAATAAAACACTAATTTCTACCATTTATCACACACATTTTGAGTCCTGCAATACTTACAACATGTATTGTTGGTCATTCCTCTCCAGTCAATGCAGACACCTCTAGCAGCACACTCCGTAGCATATATCTCCAAACTGGAACACTGCATGAATTCATCATCTATGCGACATCCATCAAAAACACAGCCTTTGAAAAATGGTTCTGGTGGTATCACAGTATGACATTCTGCAAAAACCCTGCAGACAGTAAAGAAAGCAACCCCTTCTATATTAATGAGCCATTATACAAAGTCTGTTCCTGTCAGACAACACTTTCCAGTTAATAGCATGTGACTCTGCTTCAGAAAGGAAGGTATTATGAGAAACAAGACCCTAGGAATGGCCAGTAAGATGGGAGATAGATTCAGGAGAGATTAAGAAATCTGGAGTGCCTTTTTTTTTTCTAAAGATGCTAATGGTCATACTATTTCTGTATGTGTACACAACTTTTTAGTGGCTTGACTCCAGAAATATAGTGTAAAAGGCAACTGCACTAGATTGAGAAAAAAGGAATGAAAAAATTAGCAATAGAAAATTGACAGATAAAATAGCTCCAAACTTACTAGATGCTACAGAAAGCATGTATAAGAGGGCTTTTATAAGTAATCTTGTCAGCCTACACAGGTATAGGACATAGTTCAGGAAACAAGCCTTTGTGCTTTTGGAATGGCATATTTTAGGTAAAATGTACAAAGACAGAAGGACATTTCTCAGCTGTTTGCATTTTCTCCCTTCACCTGTTTGGTAACTGGCTTCTCTATGATTTGTACTGAAGACCCACTTCAAATTTAGAGTTCAGTCTTTGCTTAATACTTAATGAACAAACTCTGGAAGTATTGCATCCATGGAGTGTTGATTTTAATTCTTGCTGCATCCCTGATTTTCTGACTTTACCTCTCCTTGCTGTTATCTTTGGCATGCCAATCATTAAGGCAGACCTGTTTCTTTTGCAAAGGCCTTTTACTATATATATATATATTGTCATTAAGCTGACATTTTCAGTTATTATCACATGCTGAAGCTATAGCTGTTATTCTTCTTGTAAGATACTGAGACAGTTGTGTCTAGAAAAAAATGAATTTGTTTTCTTACTCGCTCAAGATAAGTTTGCAGAGCGGAGGTGTTTGACATTGCGGCTTTGGTGGAGGTGTGGTTATAGCTGGTGGTATTGGTACTCCATGGCATGACTTGTTGTTATCAACAATCCAGTGATGAGCCATTTGGGGACAGGAGGAAATGATCTTACCACTTGGTAAGCGGCATTCATCTGCTTTATTGTTTGTACATGTTCCTGGAAGAGACAAGCTGGGTAAGTCTCCTGAGCCACATCAGAGATGCACAATACATTCCTGGGCTGATATGTTTAGGTCTGATGTGTTCATGAAATGCATATTTTGCCTTTCTTCATAGGGAGAACTTTCTCTTGTTATATGAACTTCAGGTTATGGAAAAACAAACAGATGTAAAACCCCAGCCCCAAAGAAATATTGAGCTTTTGACATCCTACAGAAACTGAAGAGCAAAACTGTACTCATTTCCATTTACTGTTGTTTAAAAATCTCTGTCAATTGTAAGACTGCATAGCCCGAGTGGGTGAGCATAACCAAGGTAGGGGTAGGGAAAGAGGACCCCCTCCAATCTGTGCAGCCTTCTTACCACATTGTCCTTCGGTGTTGTTGCCAAATTTGCTGTATGGGAGCTTGACAGAGAAAATCAGACCACTAAAGGTGATGACAGCACCAATTTCTTCTATTTCAACAATCATATTGATGCCAAGAGTGGAGAAAGAAATGCCATCTTTTTTGAAGCCTGGTTCAACAATCTTTTTGTTGAAGTACATCTGAATGGGTTAAAAAAAACCAAAACAAAACAAAACACCACATCAGAATAAGCAGTGCTTCTGCCTGATTGTTTTAAATAATATATTTTCTAATCTTCATAATCTCCATATTGTTGTTCATCCCATCCAGTGCCCATTGGCATCCTAATGACAACATATATTTGCATTGATATCTTGGCTTGTATTGCTACGTTGCTAAAATGTGATAATAATCTAAGTGGCCTCTACATACTGTGTTTGTGATGATTGTATGTTAATACACAGTATTCTATGATATAAATCCAAGTATTTCATTGTATCCCTCATGATTATGTGCCTAAGAAATATTTTTCATATGAAAATGTGTGGTAGTTTTCTTTAGCTACAGAAATATCCTTGCCATTATTATGTAATAACTTTGCCAGATAATCACACCATCTCTATATTTCATATTAATTGACATTGGAAGAGTTGTCTGAATACAAAATGAAGTCAGATGCCCTTAGTGCCAGTTTTATGTAGTTGTGATCATATTTATTTGTTAAACTTTTCAATTTGTAGCCCAGTATCTTATAGGAGTTAATAAAGGTAAACTTTTTTGCCTCATAGTTTTTTGTCAGAAGTTATTCTGCAACTCTCTTCTCACTGAATCAGGCTAAAGCATGAGTTAAAATTGTCAGTTACTGTCTTCTTTCACAGGAAACCAGCGTGTGTTTCTGACTGAGAATTTGCCATGGCACTGTAAGGCAAGAGTGCCTATTCAGACAAAATTTTCTCTCTTTCTATAGATTCTCTGATCAACTAATAGATTCTCCAGTGTAAGAGTGGGACTATCTTTTCATTTTCATTGGTTTGCCAACACTGCTTTGGATCATGAAGGTGAGGTGACAGTCTAAGTTACACCCTTTTTCTTCAGCTTTACCTCTCTTCACTGTAGGAAATCGAAGGGGGAATTGTGTCAGGGCTGTTTGGTGCTGAAGTTCCATATGGAGAGAAAGCAGACATCTAGAGGATACAGGATACATTTCCATTTTCCCCCCAGGAGAAGACTCCTGCTTGCAATTTGCACTTGTGTTTCTTCAAAGTGTGCTTGTTTACATAACTGTATGGCACAATGTACCAGTTTTCATGAAATATGAATTTTGTTCTTGGCATCCAGTGCAATCCTTTTTTTCCCCCCTAGTGATACTCTCTGCCCTGATCACCTCCATGATGTAATATTCTAATAGACTGTATCTCCAAATAGCATCCATAAGGCTCATAGACACTATTTCTTTCTTGCAAAAATAGAAAAAAAATATTTACCACATTGGTCATCACACCATTCATGAGTTGACGAGTCAGCACCACTTCTGCAGATTTGTAGAAAATAATAATGGATTTAGGGCAGGAGAGTCCATCTTTTGCATCACAGTAATAATTGTCGATGTAAACACGGAAGTTGTCATATCTGGGGACAATCTGCTTCACCAGGACGTAAGTGCAGTTTTCAAGGAAGGTATAATAGGTTCCATCAAAAGTAATGTAATGAGGATCACCCCATCCACTACACACACCTGTACAGAGAAAATATTTGGAAGATTAAGATGAGAATTTAGGTAGAAGAAAATTTTTAAAACTGAAGATCCTGCAACCCTAAGAAATGAAAATGCCCATACAATCTGTGTAAAGCTTAGCTTTTTTTTTTTAATGTTATTCCTGAATCTATTGATGCTTACATTGACACTCATATCGGTAACAGCATCCATTTTCATCAGGTACCAGCATTGGTGGATATTTGTTTGCACAGGTAATTTCCTTTACAGGTGGGCAGTAAGTTGGTACTACATCTATATTGTTGTCTCCATTGCAGACGACTTCTGTACAGTTGGATAATTTGAATCTTTCTCCAGGCTGCAAAATGAAGAAAAAACTTTTTTCACAAAACTCTGTAAACAGATATAAATTTTGCTCCTCTTTTTAGATTTCTGCTATGACGTTTCCAGTAATGGTAGTGTTGGAAAAGAAAGTATGTGTTACTTCTCTTCATCTTGTGGTATTTATGATTTTTAATGGCAACTAGAGGTATTAAAAATTCTGACCACGTTATGGTGAATAAACCACACTTACTTTTCTGAAACTAAAAAAAGATTAAAACGAAAATTTACACTGAGAGAAAAAAAGTTATCGATATTGTACAGGATTAGCATTTTTAATGCTAAAAGGAGGTGGAAAGCTTAACTACACTTGTTTCTTCTGCACGAGGAACTCTTCTGGATCTTGGGACATGTATTGGGTTACAGGAACTGCTTTCCTCTATTCTGTGTATAGCATTCTTCAAGGTCACCAGAGAACATAAGAATAAAAAAAGATGAAAGGAGTATACATAAAAGGGGAGCAGAATAGAAACAGATACAAGCCTTTACTGGATCTTAAATATTTCCCTTTAGTGAAAAAATAAGATACCTGAGAAAACACCTTCTATTATGTCAGTGAGAAGATACCTTACATATGCAATGCACCAAAGAGTTTTACTAAAAATAAAGTAACAAGAAAATAATTTTGTCACTTTCTTTAGCAGTATAAAAAAACAGAAATTCAGAAAAAGGAAAAATCAAATATTTACATTGCCCATCATCAGCAAAATAATTAAGACAATCAGCATATATAAGGTTTAAAGACTCCAAACTTTGCCAATCAGGAAAGACCCAATAAACTATATTATTTTAACAGTCAAAAAATAGCACTGAAATTACATACTTGTAAAGGAGGGTAAATAGTGGAAACACAACCATGAAAAGGAGGACGTGTAGAGGTAGAAGGCAGAGGAACTGGTGTTGTTACTGTAGACCACTCGGAGGATGTGGTAGCTGGCAAAGTAGTGACAGGACAATGTACACTGTGTCGTTCAATATTACATGTCGGGCTACAGATGGCATAAAAACGACAGCCTTCACTATCAACTCTGTTGTAAATCAAGTCACCTGCAAAACAAAGAAAGACAAACAAAGAAAAGAAAGGATAATAAAGAAAAAGAAATCAGCAAAAAATCCCATAGAAAAACAAAAGGAAAACAAATAAAAAGGGCCCAAAATACGGCACACTAACCAGGTGAAAAAATAGAATCACCAATCTTGCAGAAACATGGGGTAGTGGAAATAATAGGAGCAGTTGTTGTAAAGAACGGTCCACTTAGGGTAGTACTGGTGGAAGTGCTGGTGGCAGTCGAGAGAGTGGAGAAGGGGCAGTTGAGGTTGGGGATGCAGCAGAGCACGCGGGTCTTGTAGTTGAGGCGCATCTTGAATTTGCCTGTCTGGTCCTCGTTCTCGCACACCAGTCCAAAGTGGACGGCGCACTGCACGACGTGTCCCCCGTGTTGGATGGCCACGTCGGGGTAGTCCTCGGCCTGGCTCTCGATCTGTTTTGGCTGCCGGCAGATTCTCTTGCCGGCAGCACGGATGTGCTGGTAGGTTTCAAAGTCTCCCTGGTTGGGCCCCGAGGAGGGGAAGTCGACGTCGAACCATTCGCTCCAGGTGCAGACTTCGGGTTCACAGGGGGTGGTGGGGGACGTTGTTGTAGACGTCGTCGGCGTGGGGATGCTGGTGCTGGTGGAAGTGCTGATTTCTGTGGAGGTGGGACTGGTGGTGGTGGAGGACGGGACCGATGTGGTCGGGGTGCTGGCGGGGGGGCTGGTTGTTATCACGGGGATTGAGCAGTTGAGGGTGGGGGGGCAGCAGAGCACACGGATCTTGTAGTTGAGGGCCATCTTGAATTTGCCTGTCTGGTCCTCGTTCTCGCACACCAGTCCAAAGTGGACGGCGCACTGCACGACGTGTCCCCCGTGTTGGATGGCCACGTCGGGGTAGTCCTCGGCCTGGCTCTCGATCTGTTTTGGCTGCCGGCAGATTCTCTTGCCGGCAGCACGGATGTGCTGGTAGGTTTCAAAGTCTCCCTGGTTGGGCCCCGAGGAGGGGAAGTCGACGTCGAACCATTCGCTCCAGGTGCAGACTTCGGGTTCACAGGGGGTGGTGGGGGACGTTGTTGTAGACGTCGTCGGCGTGGGGATGCTGGTGCTGGTGGAAGTGCTGATTTCTGTGGAGGTGGGACTGGTGGTGGTGGAGGACGGGACCGATGTGGTCGGGGTGCTGGCGGGGGGGCTGGTTGTTATCACGGGGATTGAGCAGTTGAGGGTGGGGGGGCAGCAGAGCACACGGATCTTGTAGTTGAGGCACATCTTGAATTTGCCCGTCTGGTCCTCGTTCTTGCCCACCAGTCCAAAGTGGACGGCGCACTGCACGACGTGTCCCCCGTGTTGGATGGCCACGTCGGGGTAGTCCTCGGCCTGGCTCTCGATCTGTTTTGGCTGCCGGCAGATTCTCTTGCCGGCAGCACGGATGTGCTGGTAGGTTTCAAAGTCTCCCTGGTTGGGCCCCGAGGAGGGGAAGTCGACGTCGAACCATTCGCTCCAGGTGCAGACTTCGGGTTCACAGGGGGTGGTGGAGGACGTTGTTGTAGACGTCGTCGGCGTGGGGATGGTGGTGCTGGTGGAAGTGCTGATTTCTGTGGAGGTGGGACTGGTGGTGGTGGAGGTGTAGGGCGTGGAGGTAGAGGTGGTGACTGTGGTGGTGGTGGGGGATGGGACCAATGTGGTCGGGGTGCTGGTGGTGGGGCTGGTTGTTATCACGGGGATTGAGCAGTTGAGGTTGGGGGTGCAGCAGAGCACGCGGATCTTGTAGTTGAGGCACATCTTGAATTTGCCCGTCTGGTCCTCGTTCTTGCACACCAGTCCAAAGTGGACGTCGCACTGCACGACCTGTCCCACGTGTTGGATGGCCACGTCGGGGTAGTCCTCTGCCTGGCACTCGATCTGCTTTGGCTTCCGGCAGATTCTCTTGCCGGCAGCGCGGATGTGCTGGTAGGTTTCAAAGTCTCCCTGGTTGGGCCCCGAGGAGGGGAAGTCGACGTCGAACCATTCGCTCCAGGTGCAGACTTCGGGTTCACAGGGGGTGGTGGAGGACGTTGTTGTAGTTTTTGTTGTTGTGCTGGTTGTCACTTCGGTAGTAGTAGTTTCTTTTTGGGTTTGTGGCGTTGGTTTTGATGTTATTCTGGTGTGTATGTATTCTGTTTTCGGTTCAACTGTGTATTCAGTTGTTGTCTTGTGTTTTGTTTGCAAACTTAGTGTCGTTGGTTCTTGTGTGGGCATTGTAACTGATGGAATAATAATTGGTTGTGTTGTTGTGGTCTGAATTTCAGGTGTTGTTTCACATGGCACTGTTATATTCATACAGCATTTAAATCTTAATTCATAATTATAGCAGATAGGTGGCAGTTGATCTTTATTGTAGCATTTTAACCCTTCTTCTGTGTTGCATGTTATGTGTTGCTCTAGTAGAGGATATGGTGTATTAGGGAACCGAACTGCTCTACATTCCACTTCCTTTCTATAGTTGCAGACTTTGTATCCATTATTTTCAATGTTTTCTATCGTATCAAAATCTCCATCATTATAACCTGACCCTGGATAACTGACATCATACCATCTTGACCAGTAACATTTTTCTTTGAAACAAAGATGAATTGTTGAAGGAGGCGTGCTTACAGGTGTTGTTGTTCTAGTTGTTTCTTCAGTAGGTGAAGGTATCAATGTTGTACTTTCAGTAGTAACTGAATATGTTGTTTCTGTAGATGTTTCTGTCAGAGGTGGAGTTGTGACTGGGGTTGATGTGCTGAAAGGCGTTGTGGTAGAGCATGGTACAAAAACACAGCAGAGGATTCTGATTTCATAGTTGTTGCACATTGTTGAAATTTGATCCTTGTTGTAACATAGAAGCCCTTTTGTTGTACTGCATTCTACTTTTTGGCCAAGGTCTTTCAGTGGTATATCAGGGAATTTTTCTGCTCTGCATTCAACAGCCTTTGGAGCTTGACAAACTTCATAACCTTTTGCTCGTAAATCATCAAAAGTTTCAAAATCTCCCCCGTCATAGCCAGGCGTTTGTAGACTCCCATCATACCATTCAGACCACTTACAGATTTCATGAACACATACTGATGTAGTTGGTGACACTGTGAAGGAGAAATGGGAAAGGAAGAGACCATGAAATTAAGAATGAATTCCTGCAGATACTATTTTTTTGTTAGATATAAAATTTTGTAAAGTTTTTTTTTTTTGTTTTAAATGGGCTAACAATTTTCCTAATATCATTTGTCTTGCATTATGCTCCTGCAGTGCATCACTTTATTTTAGTATATTGTAGAACAGAAAATTAATCACACAGCAATTTAATGTAGTGACATGCTTGGAACTGTCACTTCCCAAGAGAATACAAATTATGTGTTACAAGGTGCTGAAATAAGGCTCAGGTCTAATTTATATACTCTGGAAAAACCCCAAGTCTCACTTGCTTTGCATTTGGTTCAGTGTATTTGCCTTGGTTCTATCTTGTTTTCAGGATGTACTAGTCTCTCTGGAATGTATTGAAATCAGTGGAAAGAGTAACTTTCATAGTATGCATCAAGATTCATTGCTACTTTTTTCTTCCAAATCTTGGCTCCTCACTCAGTGCAGAGCAGTCCTTATTCCTCCATTTCAAACATTCCTACATTTTGTATCTTAACTCTGACCTGAAGAAACCATTTATTGGTTGGAGAGCTTTTGCAGGTCAACTCTCATTATGAAATAGATGGAAAATAGCTACTGAATTCTAGCAATGCTGATATTTTCTGTAATTTCAGAACTTAGGTATTTTATACTGAATACTGATTTCATATAGCAACATATGCCCAGAGTAACTTGAGATTCCCAACCTGAAAAATGCTGTACAGGAATTCTAAGAACCAAAATTTTAATATCTCAATGCCAATATCTGAGCAATCCACTTAGTACTGTAAAATATATTTTTCTCACTAAACAAGAGACTATAATCTTAGTGGCTACAAAGGAAGTACCTGTGGAAGTAGTGGTAGGTGGTGTAGAGCTGAAATGAAATGTCGTTGCTGTTGTGGGTGATGTTGAGGTTAGACATTCATGCATAAACCTTTCAAGTGTTCCATTGGGACCGCAGGTTGCAACAATACACCATCCTGTGCCATCTGTAGTGTTGTAGACCACATCCTTGTAGTTGTACTTCTGCCCCTCATAAATGCAGACACATTCTGTAGATTAAAACAGGATGTTATTCCTTACTACCTGATACAAAGAGTACCCTAAATGCATCTTATTCACATCAAAATGACTTCATCAACATACCATGTTCATCATATCTGCATTTTTTGCCATGAATTGTACATTCGCTGAAAAAGAGAAAAACAGATTAATGTGGACATACTGGTTCATGACTTTTTTTTTGTTATAATTTTTCTTCCATCAATTCTTTGCTATTCATTGTGTGTTTTAATGTAAAATGACCCTATCTTGTGTGAGTTAGATAGTCAGTTCTGCTATACAAATTCAGGCTAGGTATTTATATTCAGGCTACAAGTTCTCTGGCAAGAAAGGTAGCTCTTCTTTGTGCCAACATATAGAACATGCAGCATTCTCTACCAGTGCTTTTGGGAACAGAACAAAAGACATGAGATGGATGATTTGAAACATTCTTATCTCCCCAATAAGTCTATTTTTTTGGAGGGGAAAACCACAGTAAATGTATAATTTGCATTTAAAAGGATATATACAAAGGATTACTACCATGGATGTTGAGGCAATCTACACAGTGCATTTCCATAAGGCTTCCAAAATATGCAAGAAGAATTCTGGTTTTAAGGGCAATTTATCTGTGAAGAACTGAATCTTGATGTATTTATTTACAGGGCCTAAGAACATCAATACACTGAATAAACTGAAATTTAGATATGTATTTAATGGATTAGGTTTAGTGCTGTTAATGACCTAGATGATATAGTCCAAGGCATCTATGAAGTGCAAAACCTGCCAGGGACGTTGCTTGAGCTCCAGTGGGCTTTGGTTAGGATTTTTGCTATTCAGATTGCACTGCTCTACCACATTGGAGTGTAGCTACTTGAAAGGTATCTTAAGACAACTGCTTCACAATTGGATCTGCTAACTCTGTACTTAAGCCTTACAGAAGGCTTAGCAGCATTTGTCACCGGTAATGTGAGAGAATACGTGCTGATTGTTGCCACTATGCAAGTACCAGTGCAGTAACAGAAACAAGCTCAAAAAAATGTAGATGAGTTAGCTGCTCACTTCTAACAAATATCACATGATGAGTTTAGGTATATATTTTTAAGAATTCTCAGACTATTCCCTAACTACAATTATTTTAGCTTGTTTTCACTTCATTTAATAGTGATAATAACTTTGAAGAACTTTAATAGATATATAAAATAAGTAGTAAATTCATCTCTCGATGACAAAATGTTTCACTATGGTATCATTTAATTTCCTGGGAAGGGAAGAAAATTAGACATTGTTCATCAGCCTCTGACTGGCCTAGTTGCTGTTGGTAATTAACAAATTTAATGTGTGATGAATTTTGTTCCACAATTTTAAACATTCTTTTCTAATCCTACCATGATTCACAGTTCTGCTTTGAAGGCATCTCCATTCCTGGTTTGTAATTTTTTCCATCTTCATAACAACCACAATAAGAAACACAGGTCATGGTTTCCTCATCAAAATAGGGCTTATTCTTTGGACATTGTGGATAGCAACCTGCAATAAAAAGAGAGTCAAGTTGACAGCAGGCCTTTCACAAGTCTAAATAAGTCTACACTCATATCTGCTTTTCCCAAAATGTCCCACATGGTAAGTGGAATGTCAGATCCTCTTACTGCTATTCTTTTGATTGCATATTACGCTTTGGAGTATTTTGTCCTCATCTTCATTCCAAACAAGTAGATAATCCATTAAGGAATACAATACTAATTAGAAAATCTCTTCTTATAATTTCTAGGGCAAACACATCATCCACTGAGTAATACAAATTTTGTTCACCATACTGCATTTTAACCTTTCAAGTAGAATGAGATACACATAATTATGTTTACCTTCCAAACCCCTCATTTCATGAAGGCATTTCCCACTTGGATTATTGCAGGTCTTCATACAAGGTGCTCCACATGGCTTGTAGTGCCATTCACATTCCCCTTGTGGGTTATAGTAATCACAGAAGAGAGCTAGAAGAAGAAATGCCAGAAAAAATATCTGTGATGTTTTAGCTCTATACTGTTGCCATTTTTCTAGGTAAAAATCCAATGGGATCAGCATAATCTCATAGGTGGTGAACAACATGTCATCTTATTGCTAATGCAACACAATTGTTATATTTCTAAAATCTTTTAACACCAATAAATATATTCATCATAGAATAGTTACACATTAAATATGAAAAATCAGTTGACTGAATCACTGATCTTAGCTAGCATGCACTAATTTTTATTGACAAGGAACCTTATGTAGACATGTGGCAGTGTAATGAAATATCATATTTCACCAGTAGTGTATCATGATTGTCAAGTTAATTAGACACTAATCACACTGCTTGTAAAATTATTACCTGTGGTTTCATTTTACTAAGATAGGTGGATCACTAGAAGACAATCTAACTGCTTCATTGGGGTTTTTTAGTTTTTTGGGGATTTTTTTTTGGTTTTGTTGGTTTTTTAAGCATACAGCTGCACCTCTTAGAAATACAATTTTATCCTTCCTTTCTTGTTCTACTTTGTTTCCTTCCCCCCCCCCCCCCCTCTCCCCCCCCCCCCCCTTCTGTTTTCTTTCCCTCTGAACCCCTTAACAAAGTAGTGGGTTGAAACTCACGACAAATGGATGGGGTTCTCCATGATATGCAGATGTCTAGCTCATTACATGCTTGAGCGTAGGCAGCTACTGCTGTGCAGAAACATTCACAGTCTCCTCCAGTGTCACAGGCACAAGCATCATCCACACATGCTTGGTAATATTCATTTGGTTCAACCTGATAAAAAAAAAAAATAAATCAAGTTTTCATGCCCTTGTCCTCTTTGCAATGTCGTAAAATAGCTGAATAAGATATCTGAAACTCATAGGTCTGTATGAGAGAAAGCTAAGAAAGGAAGAAATAAAGAGAATGCTTTGAAAAATCAAGAGGAAAATGTAGAATAAAGCTATTGCTAGTAAGCTGCAATATTAAGAACTGTTTGGTGTCGAAGACATTTGTAAAATACTGGTAATTACTATAAGCTGGTAGAGAGTCATACATATCAGGTGGCTGATATTTATATTAGTAGAAAATTATGCCCTTAGCAAATAAACAAATCTTGAGATTTATCTACTGTTGCTCCTTCAGTTAAAACAAACAAGATAACCAACCAAAACAATAAATTTCTTTAGTGTACTTGCTGAAGAGAAAAGCTGGGAAAATGAAAGTGAAAGTATTTCTGTGCTGTCTTTCTATACAGGAACTTGGTCTAACTTCACTTTGTCAAGCATGACAAAATGTATTTTAGAGTATTTTTTAATCTATTCCACATAAAAATGGATGCAATAATTTTGTCAAGAATTTAATTTTTGTCATACCTGTGAGTGACACTTTGCAAACACTTCACTGGTGATGATGCTGCATTGCTTCTGTGCCCAGGCTTTCCTGTATGGGTTTGCAGTGCATGGATCCTGCGTACGATTGGCATTTGGGCAACTAGAAGATACTTTCCAGCTATTGGCAAACTCCAGCACATTTCCTACCACAGACTGACTGCGAGTCGTGAAGTCATTATTTCCATTGCCATCATAGTTTCCACAAAGTCCGCAGATATGGCCCTGCATTAGGGTAAACAAACAAAATGACAGATCAGTAAGGAGCAATTTCTTAGTATCTGTGAGTAACAGACCTCAGGATGACTCTCATATAACCATCTTATATAAGATTATTAATGCCTATTTAGTAACCGTGTTGGACATTTTCATAAAATACTTTTCAGGAAGAGATGTCTCTAGCTAGTTGTTAGAAAGAAGTAGACTGATGGGTTTTGTTCTAAGTATTGAGCTATTTAGTTTTACCTGATCCTAAATATGCCTCTTCAGTGAGGGGTTTTCATGAAGAAAGCTACTGATAAAGTTACTGTTATGCCATTGCTGAATAATGTAATTTAAGGATAATGAATAGTACACAATTTAAATCAACACAACAAGGATAATATGTGATTTCTGCTCTTCTGGTTTACAGCCTAAATTTCCACCCTCTTTCTTTGAGAGATAATATGACTATGTTATAGAATTCATTTTATTCATGTTTTCACTTTTAAAGTATACCTGAAAGCTGGGACTAAGTTTGATGAATATACTGGTTTTCTTGTCCCACATGAGTATCAGACCAACAGTAGTATCAACCACCAGGTAGATGCCCATGGAACGGATTTGGAATGGCATTTTCCCTCCAGGTGTCCTCTGGATGACATCAGAGTGTCCATCACTGAGTACCAGCTCATAGTTCTAAGAAAGGAGAAGAAAAAGTTAGAGGCCAATTTAAAAAGTCACTATTTTGTAGTTGTATATTGACAGTAACTTCTTGAAATAATAATATTATCATCAAGAGGATCCTATTCAACAACCTCAGCTTAAGAAGTTTCTTTGTAGATTTCCCTCCTTTGCTTTCTAGAGCAGAGAGCAAAAAACAAGTCCAGTGCCATTTTCATTATGTTGGAGGCCACTTCTTATATGCAGTATATCTGGGACAGCTTGTTCCATCCTTTTGGCACAACTTAAAGAAAATACTTACACCCAGGAAAACTTTAATGGACTTAGAGCAGGTAGTTCCTGTAGTGCCACATGGAATGTTCTCAGTGATGACTCTGAAGGTTCCCTGGTTCATAGCTTGTTGACCACAGTAGTTCTGAAACAGGAGAATGATATTCACTGTTTACTATATATTACATATTCATCATTAAAATGCAAGAGAGCATTTTAGAGCATTTAGAGAAAAAATCTAGGCAGGACTCTGTTACCTGGACCAGAACATATTCACAGTCTCCTTCAAAATCAAAGCGTTTGCCATCAAAGGTGGTATAATGCCCATCTCCATAAACAGAACATGTTTCCAGGCAGGGATCCTCAGAGCATTGCCATTTTCTGTTTCTACATGTGCTAAACAAGACAAAAAGCACTCCAAATGTAAAAACTAGACAAATACACAATATAAATATAGGTACATTTCTGTATTTTAATGTGTGTTAAGAGTCTAATGAAAAAATAAGGCTTGCTTATTCTGAAAAAATGCAATATAGCTCGAGAACTATTGGAATTTATTCAAAGACTGTGTTACTTAGTGTAATGAATCAACTGCATCAGAAGACATTCACATTTCCAGATCCTCTTGGATCTATTAAAGTGGAAGGATTTCCTTGGAAGAAAGATTTTTTTGACTTGAATGAACATGACAACATCAAAACCACGGTGTTTTTCTGACAACTTGCAGTTTCTGGGCTGTGCCATTGAGAAAAATAGACAGAGCTTGCTTTTTTGGTACTAAGTGGATTGTTTTATGCAGGATTCCTTCCTAGAAATTTTGATACTGCTAGAGTGAAATGATGTTATTTGCTTAGATCTTAAGCTGTTCTATTTTTTTATTTCCAAAATATTATTTTTCAATATGCTCTTACCAGTTGTTACAGCCAACTCTGATTGATTCTCCTGGACTGTAGGAATTCCCATTGTGAATACATGGACAGTCTTCTGGAGCAATACAGCCACCTTTGCCATCCAACACTTGATCATGAGGACATACGCAGCCAGAGACACAGTGAGTTTTGTACTGTAAGGACCATAAAGAAAACATGTCTTGAAACATTCCACTGGTGGAAGAGTCCAGCTGCAGCTGGTGATTGTAAGAGATAGCTTGATTAATATGCTTTCAGCTCGGTATAAAGAGTCTACTTACACACTCCATATCTAGAGTCTGACAACTCTTCTGGCATCCTGCTCCTACCACATTTGCAGTGACATTGCCACAGTCGACATAAACCATGGGAGGAACACAGACTGAAAGAGAGTAAAAGCCATGAGAAACATGAGACCAACCATGCATTTATATCTTTGTGTTTCCAAGAAAAAAATGAAATACTCCTTTTGAATTGTGTGTACCTTAATGTGATGCATGTAGCAAGAGAGAGAAACCAAATATTGTTTTGACATAGTGGTTTTTTGTGATTATGCTTGGACTACTCTATAAAATTAATTTTTATTTAGCTTCATGAAGCACTTCCTTTCAGAAAAGCAGAACAAAGCAGGATAACAAATATCCTTGTATACTTGCTCGGGCTTTTTTTTTTTTTTTTTGTTGCTTCGGGGGTTTTTTGCTTTTGTATTTTAATTAAAATGTGAATAGTTTTCCTCTCACATTGAGTGAGGTGACCAAGTATCCTTTTACCCTGGGTAACCCAGGGGGTTCTAAATTGTTTCAGCCACCTGAAAGGTAAGACAGTGTTTCTTTATATTTTGAGAATGTCCTCTACGTTACAGAAGACCTCAATTCATTTTCTTGGTTGATTTCAGACTTGTACAATTAGCATCATTATGACAACAGAAGAAAGAAATAAAGAGTGAAGACGGAAAGGAAGAATTAAAGAAAACCTTAAGTGATATATTACCTGGTTCAGGCTTCTCTCCAATGCAGCTCAGCTTTCCATAGGCACAAGTGCTATAAAAAGAAGGGAATGGATATTTTTAAACATCTTGTTAAGTTTCAGCCTATTTCCCAATGAACTTGAAATAATGAAAAATTACTGTGTGATAAAATAAAATGCATCCTTCATCAAATAGTGTGCACATTTAAAAAATATTAATATTCTATATTAGAGTAGAACAAAACACAAGTTGATTCTATATAATGTTTTCTCTGTCTATATGCCCGGTTTAAAGCTGTCCTTCAGAATAATTCAGATTCTCATCATAATGGGAATAATCTTTAACAGGATTATCAGGCATCTTTCACCATGGAACAAGCCTTTTACAGTCATGGATTAGAAAAATATGTGTGGAGGCAAGGGAGGAAGGGAGGCAGAGAGAAAAGGACAGGGTGGGAGTTTGGCTGTTAGCAAAGACTGACCCACAACAGGACTGTTTGTTGAATTTCTGTAGTAGTTTATGTACAATCTTCCAAACATGGGTAGCCCTAAGAATTTAAGAGGCTGTGATTTTTTAATTGAAATTTTTTGCTATAGAAATTAGTTTGGTTATAGGCAGTTATGAAACTATATAAATGTTAGGAAATCAAATCAATCTCTTCCCTTTTTTTTTTTTTACCAATCTCTTACCAGACAACACCATTATCATGAACAACTTCTCCAGAAGACAAAGGTGTTCCTTTGTAATAACAAGGACAGCTAGAAGCAGGCACACATTTGCCACTGTCATCCATGTAGGTTCCATTTACGCAGGTACAGCCATCAACTGGGACAAACTTGATGCTGCATGTGACATCAGGCTCACTCAGAGAGCGGCAGGTGGGTTGACAGGAATCAACATTGTAGGTGTACTTCAAGGACTTCGGACACAAGGTGGTGTATTTTGCTTGAGAGTAAGAAGGTCAGTTACATTTGTTGTTCATTCAAGAATCAATATAGGTATAAAGTATTTGAGATAAAGTATGTATGACAAACATGGCATTGTATGTACATATGCTTTATGCCCATTAGCGTAATTTTTTGTAGTAACAGAGCAAAATTTTCTCTTATAAATGTGTCAAATGTTTTTTAAAAAAGAACAAAGTTCAATTATATTAGGACACAGTAGGTTTCTTCCTCTATGCTGTTTTTATACTTATTGTCAAAGTTGAGAAACACCCTACTTACTTTATTCCTGTTTTAAGGGTATTACTCTTCAGGTTTTTTCTGATGGTTCTGAGCAAGTAATCTAACAAGGCCTATTTTTAATATTTCTCCTTGTTTGCTGTTTGTCTTTTATGGCATTCCTTTCCTACTCAGCTTCTTGAAAGTCAATACTATACTTAAACACAGTTTGACACAATTTACTGTGAAATCCCTGAGAGTTGCTGTGTGGGGCCTTCTGGCTGATCATTTTCAAAAGGCAAAGGGATGTAAAACTTACTGCAGGCTTTGCTCCTCCATCCAGTGAGAACAACTCCTTTAGCAGCACAGGCTCTGACATAGCTGGAAAGGGCAGCACACATGCAGTCCTCACTTTTCTCACAGTTACACGTGTCAAACATACAGGTCTAGGAACAGAAGATGTGATCACCAGAATGTCATGTCAAAACCACGGAACTCTGCAGTTGTTTAAGTGTGTTATGTTCATTAGAAATTAAAGTGAGTGTAATCCACATATATAAGTGGACTACACATGAATAAGTGTATATGCCTGATTTTCACTGAGCTCTTTCAAAAGAAATTATTTATGGAAAAAAAAGAGTAATTAAAGGTTCACTATTTTTCTTTTTATTTTTTCACATTGGCAGTTTTACAACTACTCCAAATTTGTTGCCACTGTGCCATATATATTTAGAATAAATGGAGATTATTTGATGACACCCAGCTTTTGGAGCTTTTTCTTAAGAGCCTGGGCTCTCTGCAGCAGAGGAACAAAGAATACAAGTTATTTGATGTGTTGCTATGCTGGGCAGGGATAATACAGTATTGTTAATTCCAGATGATATTTATTGAGCATAATCTTACAAATTTCCAATAACAGGAAGGTTAATTAAAGTACCCAGGGACTCTGGTACAGGGTTTCCTCACCTAAAATTCCTGGAACATTTTCGTTCACATCTTGTCTAATTCTCATTGTTCGTTTTTTATGCACATTGCTTGCCTTATCCTTGCTTGTATGCAAAAACCTTCTGAGAGCAGTTCAGAGGAGTTAAAGTGTCAGCTAAGATTCTGGCTAAAGCTTTCATTAGATCTCTCAGAAGGGACAATTTTTATCTTTTGACAGCAAATCCAAACTCCTAACTTAGTCTTTAAGTTTGTGCCTAAAAATAGATGCAGGAGGAAAACACATGTTTATCCTCCAGGGAATAGAAAGAAAGGTAGTTTCACAAAGGAGCAAATTTCATATTGTGTAGATAAGAATGAACCCTTAGCTTGTAAAGAACTATCATGAATGCATCTCCTCACAACTGGCAAGTTATTCTCTGAGGTGTTAGTATCAGAAATCTGAAGATTTTTTTCCTGTATTGGATGGATAGAGTTAGAGCCAAATACCTTTTGGTAAATTTCTGGATTCACTGTTGAGTGACATTCAGCAAAAGGTCCTGTAGTATCAGAGAGCTGTCCACACCAGTGCTGAGCATACTGGTCTGTGAATTGAAAACATGGTAAGGATTTCTGTGGCAGTGCATTTGCAAAACTCTTGTCTCAACATAACTATACCACCTCCAGGGAAATTGCAGAAGCTTAACATTACAATATAATTAAGCTCTGCATTTGCTGAGGTACACAGGCTTTCACTTCCTCTAGGCAGGAGTACGAACTCTTCATAAACTGAATGTTCTCTAATTCATTATAATTGTCATGGAATAGACTAAAGATACCCCTAGCTGAATTTTAAAAAGAAAGGTTCACACTGTAAATTAAAACTATGTTAGTTCATCTCAGAAGACATAAGAGTAGCTTGTGAATACTCAAGAATTATATATTTTGTTGGCTGAAATGCAGCTTGAATTATTTTAGTCTCTGAACTGTAAGTTTGGTTCTCAGCTTGAGAGTGGAAGGGCTACAACCTTCAGAGGGGCTGGGCATAGCTGTGACAATCAGTCCTTTCTAGGAATGAATCCCTGTATGATTCCAGTTTCCCTTAATTAAGTTGACTTGCTGTCTTCATCCAAAGGAATATATCTGAAGATCCCAAATATTTTACTAGTTATTATTTATTAATTGAAGATTTCTAGTGTCAACTGAGGAAAGTTGTCTGCATGTGCAAATAGTTCTGTTATTTTGGCTAAATGCTTGGTGGTTGATCAGCTTATTCCGTCTTTGCATCTTAAAGGAGAATAGAAAAGATTGCTGAGCTTACCATTTTGTATGCTGACAGTACAGGGGTCCTCAAAGGTATTTTTGGCATCAGGACAATCAGCCCGAGTTTTCCAAGTATTGCCAAAGGCAGCTGAAGTGCCCTCTATCACGCCACTGGTGGTTTTGAAATCATCTGTCTGTACATCATTGAAGTTTCCACAGAGACCTAGAAGGAAGCAGATGGTCTGTGCAAGTCTCCTAGAGGATGACAGGTGCTGGTGAAGGCAGTTGTTAGGACAAGGTCACTCACCACAGGTCTGCCCTTTATGTGATGGGTCCAAGTCTATAAAAACTTGCATTAAAGGCACAAGTTGAACCTGTAGCTGCAGACCAAAAGTTGTTTGCAGAATTATGAAGAAAGATGAAGGCCTGAAGATGGTGACATTTGCTAGGGATATAAGAACAAAATAGTTATAATTTCATTCGAGATGAGTAGTTGAAAATAATTGTTCGTTATAGGAACAATATTGTAGAGGAATTCTACAGCTGTGTTTGATATGATCCTAGCTTCTGAAGAACTGGGGGGAAAATGATCCTTACAGGATTTCCAATCCTGCACCAAAACAGTCCAACCTAAACATCTAAGCAACAAATATATACAAAACCTCCACTTTCTGTCAGGTGTTTTAAAATGAGGGAAGAACACATGCTTTTGGTAGTCCAGATGCATGTCAGAATTTTTCTTTCCTCTCTATGACAATGTTTGGATCTGAAAGTGTTCAATAATACAATTTGCTTGAACTAATTACATATTGCTAAATATAAACCATGATCTTGCTGAAGTTATTAATGTTGAATAGGCAAATCCTATTACATAAAAATGGGAGCACTATGGCAGTGCTCTGGGTTTTCTGCAGTGTAACCAGAGGTAGAATTTATCTTTAGTTTAACTCGTGTAATAACATTTTAAGATAAAAATGAGAAATACAAGTTTTTCAAAGGAACTTACCTGCTGAGAATGGTAACTGTGTGTAGATCATATTCACAAATACACTCCCAGAAGGCTGGATCACAATGTTCTGTCCACAAGAAAAGATAATTATTATCAAGCAGATAAATTAAATACTTTCCAAATGTTTCCTATCCAATACTACTCAAGATAAAGGGAAAAATAATAGAGGGAGACTATGATGAGGTTGTGATGCCTGTACTATTTCCTTAATCTTTATTACTGTGTTCCACTGACTGTCAAAGAAAGCAAAAACCAGAAGTTATCTAAGTAACAGAAAGCTACTAAGATCTTCTCTTCTAATGTACTTTATTCTTAATTTTTCTTTTAATAATGTTCAAATTTGGTAAAACAAAAAGGCAGTGCAAATTTCTTGTCTGTGCTGTTAGGTGTCATTTGCCTTGTCTGTTAACCTTAGAGAACATCTCTGCAGGATGTCAGTGTGTGCATTTGCTGCTCACCGTTTGTCCCCCATTTAGGCTGATGGCGACTCCCTTGAGGCATGTCTCAGTGTCAGTCAGGCCACACTTGTGGATATCCCCCAACACTGTGAATTCATTGCTGTCACAGAGCTTGAAGAAAAAAACCAAAGGTATTGTTAAAAGGATTTGCTATCTTGAAATAGTTATCTCCAAAAAATTCAAATGCAATTCTTAGTAAATTTAGTCTTTAAAAAATATTGTTTATTTCATTTTTTCTTCCTCTTATGGTCTAACACGTATGTCTGGAATCACCAAGTAAGTCGGCATTCATGCAGTCGGCACACCGCATTGCTGCTGGCTTTCAGGGGTGAGTTAGACATATTAATTTGAAAATTAAAACTTCCTCATGCATTAGTAAGACAAGTTCCTAATGTGTAGGTAATACCTGTTTAGTATGCTAAAGCAGAAGGAGGTGTGCCTTTCTTGCCCACTGGTTATGAAGTTTATCAGGGAGAGAAAAGATTGCTTCCAATGTCTTCTGCACTGAATAGATTATTCAAGACTCTGATGATTTGGACATTCTTTTAAAAGGTAGGAAATATGGATTTAAATATTCTCTCATGGAAAATGAAATTATTATTCAGGAAGTTACTACATAAAGGTTCAGATTTTGACTCAGTTCTGATTTTCATAGAACTGTGTTCTGTGAGCAGTCTTCAAAGTGTTCCTAATGGCCAAAACACAACAGAGAAAGACTCAGAAGGCTTTAATTCTGAATGTGTTGTATCACTTTTTTGGCATATTAAAGACTAAATTGAGGACAGCTGAGATGCAGAATTATAGCCATCTAGAAATTCAGTAGTAAATTCTGGGGCTTTTTGAACTTTTGTGTACAAATTTAGGGGTTTTCCTCCGCCTCCAGAAACCCTGAGAATCTAATTTTATGTGTTGGTGCCAAAAGGAGGAGTTTAATGTGCAAGTCTGACCTATCCTGCCATTGTGCATTAAGGCAGTGCTTGTGAATCTTATCCAAAAGTTTCAGTGATTTAAGTTAATCTATTTCTAAATCATCTCATTCTAGCTAATTTAAGATTTTATGATTCTTTTTCTTAGTAACATTCAGATTGATCATGTCAAGAAGATTTTGTTTAATATGAAGTCCTTATGAAAATAGTTTACCTTAGTCATTCAATAAAAATAAACAATGAATACACCTAGGCTTATGAAATCTAACATAAAACTCAGTGCAAATCCTAAAACATTACCAAAGAACACAAAAACACTACAATATTATTTAGTATAACGTTAACAGAAAAGCCCCTGAAATCCATTTAGGGGTGTTAACCCTATAACCACATTAACCCTCAATGACTCAGAAAACTGATGTGATTGCCAGAAGTTTTCATCAAAAAACATTATATACAATAAAACCATTTTCCCTTAGCAAGGATTGTGACTCATTTTTACCTTGGTTAGGACATAACTACAGTCTCCAAAGAAGGAGTAGTATTTCTCATCAAATGTTGAAATGTGGGAACCTCCTTCAATACTGCAAGTCCCAGGGCATGACTGAGTGACACAAGACCATTCACCTCCAACACAGGTACTGAAATGAAGGAGGCATTCAGTGACATTGGGTAATGCAAGTGTAAACAAAATAAAAAGGCAGTAAGGACAGATGATGCCCTAATTTTCCTTTTGAAACACTGATCATAGTGCCAAAGAAACCAGTATTGTTTTGAAGTCTCAGACAAATATGGGGCAGGCACATTTATATTAAAGTGATAATTTTCTATATATATTGTTGTTGATTTCCAATCTTTGGACAGAATTCAGTCCGGGTGAACTTGTAATCCATGTCAACTATTTTAAGTATTTCTTGGAAAAGAAATAAATAGGTAGGTACAGTTGTATACACGTATGAAGAAATACTTCAGTAATTATAGGGATAATAAAAAAATATATACTTGTTAAACATGCCTCTCAAATGTGATCTCCCACTCTAAATGTAACATGCCCCCAAATGTCATGGTCTCCATAATCTTTATATGAGCACCTTAGCATTACACTGTATGCTGCGAAGGTATAACACTAATTCACATTTTTAAACACCTCTGGTATTTGATTATCTTCTTTCATTGGTATTTCTTGAAATTGAAGCAACTGTTCAAAAACTCAAATTTTTGTTCCAAGTTTGAAGGGAAAACAGACATGAAAGCAACCTTTAAAGCAATGTAATTATGGAACTTCAATTGGTAAGTAGTTGCTAATTTGTTTTTTAAGGGGACATCAGTAAATATTCAGCTCACGCACAAAAAAACCCCACCCAAAACCCAAAAAACCAAAAAGTGAGAAAATATGTTACCATGATCTGCATTTAGATGAGAAGGAGGCACCAGGAGCATAAGTTTCACCTTCATAGGTACAGTGGCATTCTCTGCGGGGAATGCAGCCGGCACCATTAACATCATCAAATACCATTCCTAGGAAAAGAAAGGGTGTGTTATTTATCCTGTGCACTGCAGAACCTGCCTTTGAACACATATCTAGCAGATGCCTGAGACTACGTCCCATTTCTGCTGTACTTTAAAATAATAGGATGCAAGCTATGTAGACATTGAAGGGCTATATTCCATTGAAGTCTATTTAAAATCTTAGCACGATCAAAAGGGACCTCTAGGAAAGTACCCTTCTGTTATGGATTTCATTAGAATGGAATTAGGATAAAAACTATTAGGTAATGAGCTGAAATATATGAACCATTTGTAAGACTGCCCAGTGACATATCTGTAGAGTAAATATTTCTATGCCCAGAGACAGAGGATTGCCTTAGACAAGTCAGTGCTATGACACAAGTGATGGTTAATTCTGTGAGACATCATGGGGATGGGCAGAACAGCTGCAAGGGGTGAAGCTCCTGTGATATACAGTCACAACAGCAACAAAAATTTAGACCCAGAAGTATGCACAAAGAACACATCTGTCTTGTACTGATACGCAGTTCTTGTGTGTAATTCTCTGAAGCATCAGATCTAACACACTGCCTAGCACTCTGTCAGCTCCTTGTTGTTTAGACACAACACTTGACAAGAAGGATTTGGTCATTTGTGGAACCAGATGCAGCTTTGCTAAAAGCAAAGGAGTTATGATTGCATGCAAAATCTGCTTAAACATTTTATACTTTCTGTGAACGGAATTTGAATGCTGAGAACAGAAGACTATGCTGTTGTTAGGAGCAAATTATCTTGTTCTTAGTTCAGTCATTTTATATACATACATTTTTTAAAAAATATATAAAGCACATTTGTTGTTTAAAAGGCCATATTTAGTAATTTGAATAGAAATAGTGCATCCAGGGGAGAAATGTAGCTATTACTTCCACAATAATAACACTGATGATGTGATAGGAATGACCCAGAGTACGAAAGTTGTTAAATGTGTACAGGTGAGTATTCCAGAGGGGTTGGCGTGAGAAAAGGGCAGGAAATGAACTTGCCTGGAGGACAGACGCAGCCATCTGTACAGTGATCTTCACAAAGTGCAGATCGCTCTGGGTTGCTGCACGTGTCAGAGCAGGGAGAGCCACACTCATGGTATTGCATGTTGAATGGACATGATTTGGCTAAAAGTAGAAAGACAGTATTATAAAGCTGTCTTTTCATTTAGAAGTTTGAGAAAGCTTTTTTTTTTTCAGTTTAGGTTGTCTTCTGCCAAGATATGATAGGGTATCCTGATCCAAGCAGAGGCTGAAACATGTTAGATTTTCTGATTCATATTGAAAACTCCCTAGGCAAAATCCCCTAATGTCCATATTCCCAAAGTCTAGTGTATGACCAGGTAAAAACTGGTTTCATTATAATTGCATGCACTTTTAAACTATCTTCTTCAGGAAAAAAACCTCACACATGTGAGGTTTACTAGATGTGTAAAACCTAGGTGGAGGTCCCTTCCTGATACTCACGGCACAGGTCTGAGGTTCTCCAGTTCTGGGGCTGTCCACCTGCATGAGCACACTGCCGGGAGTACTCAGCAAAGGTGTTGCACATGCAGAAGTCAGCCATAGAGCTGTCACAGTGGCACAGGTCTTGTATGCAAGTTTCAATGTAGTCCTGGACATTCACAAGCACGTTACAACTTGTAAATGCTTTGCTGGTTAATACTGTCTCACAGATGGAGGCCTAGGAAGGAAAAGAGAGAAGATAAAGTGTTGAGAACATATGAAAATAATTAAGGCATGAACAAGAACAAATCAAAGATTGATCTGGTCCAGAAACCCTTCCAACAGTATCCATAAGTTGATATTTAAGGACAAATAAATCATTAGGCCAAAACCACATAGAATAACTCTTGTAGCTTTCATAGCTTTAGTTACTGTCACCTCAGGTCACTTCCCAAGAATTATATAATTTCTTTATATTAAGACATCCTCAGTAATTTTCTCTTTGTGGAGAATATGCAGTCTTCTTGTAGAAGGGGAATGAAAATTTTTGGCATTCATTCTAGCATGGAATACAACATGAAATTAAGAATATTTTTCTTTTGAGACCTATAGCTGAGTCATATTCATGCTCTATTTTTTCCCCCTTCTAAAAAGTTTTTTTCCAAAGACAGAGAAGGTATTCATAGTGAGGAAACAAATTTTGAGAGAGAGGTTCTTACAAATTCTCTTGAGCAGTTCATCGGAGAAGTAGGAGGAATAGGATCATCACACTGCTCTGTGGGTCCATCCATCTTCTGCCTATTACCAAACTGTATGGGGGTCAGTCTTGTCTCTGTAAAAAAACAGTTCAAATTACTTACTAAATTTTGCATGGAGTTATTTTCTTTTGTGACACTACCTGCTATGACATGAACAGTGATTACCAAATAATATCACTATAATATGAAAGGGAAAATATGAGCAGTATATATAAAAACTGGATCCTAACTATTGAAAACAACCAGAAATTTTAATGTGGCAGGTCTTAAAATATCTAACAGTGATATAGAAGCAGTCTAATTACATCTCAAAATCCTGGCATTGCAAAACTGACATCACAGGTATACATGAAGTATCCCCAGTTTTCCACCCGCAACCTATATTAAAGTATATTCTAAGAATTAAAAAAAAAAAGCACCAGTACTTAATAATGCTTTTTATTACTTACTCCCTGAAATAAATTCATTGCTGACTGGAATTCCATTGAAGTCCCCACAAAGTCCACAAGTTTGATTTGCATATTTCTTATCTAGTTCCACCTAAAAAAAAAAGAAAAAAAAAAAAGGAGGAAGGAGACAGGAAGAAAAGGCAGTCTTGATGGTTATGTCAGTACTTCTTGTGTACTCAAAATTTGAGATATGTTTGTTTTAGAGACTATGCTGTGTGATAACAACGTAGGCACCATTGGAATGGTCAGTGATGACCAAGAAAAGCTCGCTCTTATCCTAGCCCTGGGTTGTGAACATCAATACTTTGCCAGGTCTGGAATCTCAGGAATATTTTATGGTGAGGCAGGAACATTATAATTTGGCATCTATTGATTCTGAGCTGAGCTTGATGGGGAAAAAAAACAGGAAATTGAGAGAAGACTAAAAATGGACACAAATCCAGAAGTAACTAATGTTTGCCTGGCTATAATACTGCAAAGGTGTAAGCAGACTATTTTCAAAATACAGACTTTCTGCTGTGTTTTGGAGGTTTTCTTACCAGGAGGGCATCTTGTCCATTCCAAAGGAAGATCAGTCCCAATTTGGCAGAAACTTTCAAATAGTTGTTACTTCTCTCTATAAAGACTCCCATATGGCTGTAGGGCATCTGGACCCTGGGGAAAGATCATCATAAATCAGCAGAGGTAGGGACAGAATATCCATTGAATGTCCACAATGATATCCTTTCTCATTCTCTTTGAGAATTTTCAACATGTTATCTGTGAAGAAATTAGAGAAAGAACTACTACAGACAACACAGGGTTTTAATATTTTGTCTATTTCCTATCCAATTGTCTCTCATCATGCAAAAGGATCAGCCTCCTGGTGTTCCTTTTGGCTTTCTCCATTAAGGGTATTTTTCTGGGTAAAGTGTTAGCTTATGTCTGTGGTTGTATTGTTCAAAAAAGTGCTGGGAGGCTCTGTTTTGCAGTCAGTATCCTTCAGGATATTGCTATTTACTCCTTGAAGCATTTGCTAATAAAGGGAGAGACTCCAGGCTTTCTGTGACATGAGTGCCATTCAGGAAGCTGTACCTGAGATAACCTTTAGACTAGCTCATTGTATATAGCTGCCATAGCAGACAGCTCACTGTGGGATAGCTGCCCAAATATTTACCTGACCTTTTGGGTAGGTTTCACACCCTATGCAAAAGTCAGTGCTACAATTGCCACATAGATAGCAAACAGATAATTTTAAATTAATTCAGGTACAAGGTGAAGAGCAGTCACTGCTTTACTGCACACTGCTCAGTGCAAGAACAAAAGCTGTCAAATATTCCTCACAGAGATTCTGCCATGCTAAGATTAATAGAAACTACTAACTTCAAGGGTGTAAAGAATGCAGCTTATAGACTTAATTGCTTACATACATAGACTATTGTAGCAGTGGGACAGTATATTGGATACAGCTCATCTGAACCAAATAGCCACAGGGATAATCTGCACAAGTGACACTTAGCTTGCTGTCAAGCCCTCCTTTGTTTTTGTTACTACTTCAGGAAGGACCTGAGCCCTCCCACTGCTTGGGAGCAATGAGCAATGAGGGAAAGGGATATTTGCTCAAAGAGCCCAGAACAAGGTAGGAACATACAGTTTGTTGTCGAGCAGGACAGAGCTGGGGGTCAGTTCGATCACAACTCCTTCCAGCTTCATGATGACATGAGTGATCACAGTAGCATTTTCCACCATTGCACGCCTAATCTGGATGTTGAAGTCCTCATAGGAAGACTTGCAGTTGGATGCAAAGATGTAATTGCAGACCCCAGGGAAGTAAAAGATGTCCCCATCAAAGGTCTTGAAGTGGAAGTTACCCCATGTGCTGCACACACGGCCATTGTGAGAGGGGTTGCCAGCTGTGGATTCAAAACAAGCAATAAGAATTTTCTGTAGATTTTTGTAATACGCTCCCTGCAGATGTTTTATCCCTCCTGCTTCTTTCACCATCCTCTTTCCAAACAGCTCATCTTTTTCTGTTTTGTCAAGCTATTTATTTGTCATTATTTATTTATTTCAGTTGCTTTTTGTGCTTAATCAGTTTTACATAGGGATATAGGGCTTAGGATCAAAAGAGACCTCTGGGGTCACTAGATCCAGTGCTCCAGTTCTGATGACTTCCCTATCCCATGAATCCTTTCCTAAATGTATGTATGTAAAATTTCACCATAAAACCATTTTAAAGCTAGTTTAAAACTAGCTGATACTCCTAGTTGGGAATGCCACTCATACCCACAGCCTCTAAATGGCTGGAGGACTTTGGTGAACATCTTCCAAAATCTATTCCTGTCCCATGTATGCCTGGGTGTTCTTGTGCCAAAATTACACTTCACCTTGAAGGGGTTCCACCTCCCTACTCCTCCCCCAGCGCATTATAGAAATCTCTTCTTTCTTTTCAGTCTTCCTTTCCTTGCAAGCATACTCTCCAAGATCCCTGATTATCTTCCCAATCCCTTTCCACATTTACACCCAGCCTGCTTGAATTGTACCCTATTCCCTGGATAAGGTGCCTCAACAGTTTTCAGCACACTAGTATTTTCCTCTCTTCACTGGAAATATATATAATACCATGGAAAAGCACGTACAATACATACGCATGTTTAAATATATACATTAAAAATTTTCTTACAGCTCCATCATACAACAATGAGTCAGAAGATATAGATTCACATTTAGATTATCTGTATTACCTGATAAATTAATCCTCTGTTAATTTTTTGGTTTATGATGCTAAAGGTTCTTACACAATTTATTGATTTTTTTTTCAGTCACTCCATGCTCTTTGTCATTAACAAGGGCACGGATATCTGAGCCAAGACATTTGTTTAACTTACCCTTTACTTTCAGTGCGTTTTGAAAAGGTGGAATGATTGTCACTCCTTGGGATTTGAAAGCTGGTAGTAAAAAGAAAGGAGAAAAAATGGCCAGGTTTAATCTTTTCTGAAGTCCTAAAACATGGGTAGAGATTGCCTAATCTTTTTAGTGAATAATATGTCCTACTAGCAGTTATACTCTAGTGGAAACTTTCCACAAGGTCTTATTAGTGGTTTTTACATAATGCTTTGTATTCTGTCTTTCTATAAATTTCACTAACAGCTAAATTGCACAGACTGTAGTTCTTTCTTTCATCACTTGTTCAAGACTCCCATCTGATGCTGACCCTGATACTCTGAACTCAAAAGCAGCAATATGATCCTCAGAGCACTGTATTGTAACATGGATTACAACAGGTATTTTAAAATAACCTGTGGACATATTTTGCAGGGCAGATTTAATGATCAATTATTTCAGCCTGTCATCACTTATACACCAGTCAGCTTTGGATCCTGCCACCCTTATTTTGCACTGTCCAGTTATGTGTCATGCATGATCTTGTAGTACATAATTATTCTAATGTTTAAGGTAGTTACAGCTTTCTTATTCTCTTGTGAGTGATGCAGTCATCTTGACACAGTGTAAAAAAATGTGCCTTTTATTACCTACTATCAAGTACCTTGGTGATATGTATGTAAACACACACCTCTTCTGAAAATACACTTTTAGATATAAGTTATGTACCTTTCGTGAAGTCAAAGATTAGATAACTGTATCATATCAGTAGAGCAGATCCACTGGGCCAGATCTCAGAGGAAATTCCCAAGCTTAGAGCAGTCAGAGATTGTCTGAGAACTGGATATATTGTACAGAGGGCTTCTCTTTTATTGTATGTGTGTAGCTAGGAATCCAAATATTCTCATAATCGTACTATTTAGCATCTCTATTTGGAACAAAACCTTAGAAAGAGATCAGCATAAAAGTACCTACATTTTTGTCGCTGCAGGAGAGATGGAGAAACATACTCTGACTTTGTTGGTTGTTCACCACCCTGGGCTTGAACTGCATCAAGAAGAATAGTAAAGGAAATGTGAATGTCTAATTTTCTTGAATCCCCTCATAATGTCTCAATTATATCTGTTTAAACGTGAAAGACTCAGTATATGAAAAATCAAAGATATGTTTATGTACAGGAGGCCAGAAATGCATCAGGACCCATGCTACATGCAATGATGGCCAAACATCACTCCTTCAGCCATTTCCTTTTTTAACTTTTTGGGTAATAAATTACTGCAGGAAAGCCATCAAAAACATACCTGTGGTGATTTGAGCAGGTACTTATTCTGTCACAGTACACTCCTGGATTCTCTTAGAAGCTTTTCAGATAAAGGACCTACATGTCTTAGTTTTTATGATCACTCTGTGCTTTAAGCATCAGTAAAACTTTTTTTTCTAGCTAGATGGCTTTTAAATAAGTCCCTTTTGTACACAAAGAATTCACTTTAGAGTCAGAAGACTGATCTTTGCTTGAAACTAGAAAATACAGAGTAACTTTGGCTTTGACATTCTTTGTAATAAGCCACAGAAGGAAAATAAATGCAAAAGCCACATCGCACAGAAGGCAAGGTCTTTCCAGTAGATACATTTGTGCCTGTTGATTTCACCCCAAAGCAAAGAAACCATTTTTTATTCCATTCCAGTGCAGCATCAGAACTAGAATACATGCATTATCCAGCAGGGCTTTTAATGCACTGTTTAGTGAGAGCTCATCAGAGGGCAGGTTGAGGTGAAGTCTATTCTGGCCAGAGAAAAGTGCAAGGGGAGGTTCACCCCCTGCTGCCCCTCACAAGGGCAGTCTGTGGTTAGGACCACTAGAGGGGCTAAGGCTCAAAGCAGAGCTGAGGGGAACTCTGCAAGTGCCCTCCTGGGCAAAGAGCTGGGGTTAGAGGATGTGTCCCTTTCTCAGGTAGGAACCATTCAGTGCTTCTGGGCTCCTTCAGTGCCCAGCCTCAGAGAGTTTTTTGCTTCTCTCTCCATGTACTGTGTGGCTCTGCTCTGTCCCATGCCACACGCCCTGCAGATCCCTGCTGCCATTGCATGTTTTGCTAATGCTACAGCTAGTCCTGTCATAGGCTATTCTTTGACACTACAACTTCTTAACATAAGTTACTATGGAACTACCTAGGAGCGGGAAAAATATGAAATCATACAATAGAATCTGCACTAGAGATCAAAATGCATTTAAAACTAAGATCATTCTTACCTTAAACTTAAAGGGAAATTATCAGGTGAAAAAAAATAAAATTAAAAAAAAAAGGGGTTTCCATCCATCTGTGACTATTAAGTGCCCTCAGAATATTTATAGCAGTTCGCTTTATTTTCAGCCCATTGCAAACCAACCCTGTATGCTAAGCATTTATGGAACCTCATAAGCAAGAGTAAATAAAATTTTAAAACCTATTGCATGATGATTTTCAAGCAAAATCCTCCCTTTCTTCAATACTCTATCATCAGCTGATAAACAGAGTCTTTAATAATTCATGCAGACATACTCCTTAGCTGATTTATTCCTTTCCAGAGGTACCTTTGCACCTTTTGGTTTGTATATTTAGAAATGCTATACCACCTTAAAGTGGATATTAAAAGCTAAATGCAAATCTTGAGGCATTTTTGTAGATATATAAGTTCAGAGAAAGTTCCACTCAAAGCAGTGCAGCTGTTCCAGATTTCAACTGGAGAAAAATAGGATGACAGTTTCAAAAGAGTTAATTTTCTCTTCTTAGGAAAGAAAGTATTTTTAAGCAGAAAATAAAATCTTGCATGAAGGTAATAGGTTCATTAACTTCACAAAGCCAAGGGAAAAAAATGCTTCAAACTCCAAAGCAAGTTATAAATTCTTTAAAACAGTAAAAATGCCAAGCAAGTGAATCTTCCTACCTTTGATCTGTATGAAGACCAGGGCTAGTATTGATATCCACAGTGGTATTCGTGTCCCACCACCTTTACCCATCTTCTGGAGGGCCGGTAGAACCTACCGAACAACCTGCCTCTGAGGAAATACCTGTCTGTTCCCAACTCTTATATAGTGAGAGAGCAGAATTTGGCTCAGTTCCCAGATTGTTTCACAAGGCTCTTAAAAGGTGGGGCTTCAGACATTTTCGTTTTCTTTTACAGGTGCAGAGGTAAATAGAGGATGCTCTGACTTTCCCTCAGCTATTTACACTCTAGGAGGAGTCTTGTCTCCATATTTTTGATGAAATGTCATGAAGTGAGCAAGAAGAATTTTTGCTTAGGGTAGTCTTCCCAAATTTTTGTTTCTTGTGGGATAAACACAATTTAAGAGATTTCTGGGTGACTTTTGAGCAGGAAGTTTGGGTGAATTACTTAACTTTTTTTTTTTTTTTTTTTTTCTTTTTTTTCTTCGTAGTGCAAGTGATGATAATTAGCTTCTCAAAAGCTCCCATAAAGTTCCACCTGATAGAAATTTTTTTAAATGAGTTCACACCTGCCTATGTAGCTACTTTGCTTGTGAAAATGACAACATCAAATGCCACTTAAGGTCAGCTGTTATCCCACTGACCAAGTACAACACAGGTGTATACAATGAGAATCCTTCTGTGTTGGCAAGTCAGTAATATGGCCCTTTCCTTGAGGGACTCCCCTTCTCATATGGGCAATTTTAGGGTTATTTCAGCTGTTTTCCTTCTAACATGATTTCACCATCAAAAATTAGTTGGATTCCACCTATGATTTAAAAAAAATCCTTGTGATATCTACAGATATTAAAGGACAGGTATGCAATAATATTTTCTGTAATATTCCTTATCTTAGGAGCAATGAGGCAGTGAAGAATGCTTTTTGGGTATGTTAAAATAGTTGTTTACATCTTTATCACTTTGGGATATTAACCTTTTATAGTGTTTTACCCTGAGGTGTAGAGAAACATAGTCTTTCACTAAGAGAGCAGATCCCATAATCCCACATGGGTTCAAACAGTTCCTGCAAAGAAGGTGCTGGTGTAGTCTCCGTATTCTTTGGAGTCATAACAATGTTCAAAATGGAATAATTTTAGCTATTATGGAGGGATGTTAGAGGTGCATTGAAAAGGTGGTGAAATACTTATTTAGGTTGCCTAGTAATACTGTCCAATTTCCATCACTAGGTTAGCAAAATACCTACATGAGAATGGTCTAAGTGCTGTTGATAGTGCTCTGGGGCAAGGGAATAGACTAAATGTCCATTTGAAATTCTCTCAAATATGATTTTCTATTATGTTTTATGAAAAATTATCATGGAACATAGAATCATAGAATGGTTTGTATTGGAAGGGACCTTCAGGAAGGGACCTTCAAGATCACCCAGTTCCAACCCCCTGCCATGGACAGGGACTCTTTCTACTAGACCAGCTTGCTCAGAGCCCCATCAAACCTGGACACTTTCAGGGATTGGAGCATCCACAACTTCTCTGGGCAACTGTTCCAGCATCTCACTCACCTCACAGAAAGGAATTTCTTCCTAATATCTAATAAAAATCTACTCTCTGTTAGATTTGAAGAAGTAACTTCAACACTAAGAAGGAAATAAAAGGCACAATTTTTACATAAGCAGTGAACAAAAGCAAGAAATATGCTTGTTGTCCTGAACATTGTAAGAGTACAACTACTTAAATAAAGGTGACATAAGAAAATTGAGTTGGAAGTTTTGAGGAAAATAATTGTTCCATTTCAGCCATGAGTTATATCTTTGGAACCTCATTGATGTGTAAGTCTGTAAAATTTACTTAGCATTATTTAACATTAAACAGAAGATGCCTACAAGATACTTGTACATACAGAAATACATGCAGCGAAAATTTAAGGAAGTATCATTGTCTCTAATGGTTATTATCAAAGTTCCAGGATGAAGATCTAAAAAAAATTTAAAAAATAATGGATTTAAACGGTATGTAATTAAAGTAATGATAAAATAGTATGGTAAACTCATATGGGTAACGCACATAAGCTTATTAAGAGATTATATTAGTAAGAAGAAATATATACTTTATGAATCATTGTATTACTTACCACTAAAAATCAATTCATATCAACAGTTGCTATGCTGTGGTTTCATATACATTTCCTGCATGTTCAGGGAAGCACTGTGATCTCTGAGACATCCCAGTCTGGTCATCACAATTAGGCTGAAACTGGTTTACAGTTCAGTTTAACCCCTTTAATTGAGCTTGAAGGCACAATCAGAAGTGATTTCCTATATGTTTATTTTTGACTGAAATTTTCAAATCTCATATATGCAATGAATCAACTCTCCTGACACTACTAAGTGGTTAATTCATTGACTATGACATATGACTCTTGCCATATTAAATTTCTTATCTTGTGCTATTTTTTCTCAGAAATTGTTATAAAATGTTTTAAAATGTATGAGACTTGAATGACATACGACTCTTGACATATTAAATTGCTTATCTTGTGCTATTTTTTTCTCAGAAATTGTTATAAAATGTTTTAAAATGTATGAGACTTGCAAAAATAATCTCAAATATTTATGATACATTGATTTAGTAGTATTATTCAAAGAAATAATTCCTCTTTAAATTGTGTTTCACTTTCATTCACTCAATAGACATACACAGGTGATACATGAGAGTATATTTTAAAAATTAGTTGGGAGTAACATGTCTGATTTTTGTATCTCCTTATGATCAAATCCATACAATTGACTGCATAAATGGAAATATTAATATATTAGAAGAATTCATTGATGTACCTACTTTTATTTTTTTTTAACTGAAAAGATAGAAGATTTTTCCATTGCATTTGATCTGAAAACCCTGAAATTTATTTCTTTAGTTTCTCTTCCTTTTCACGGGATTGTATTCCTACTCTCAGCATCTGCAATATTATATTGAGTGAACAGTAAAAGAGTTGTTAGCATTTTCAGATCTATTCTTTTTAACCCTACATGATCAAATGCTACATGGTGGTGATGTTATTTACACATCTTACTCATGATTTCTGAGTCTCCTTCTTCATAAAATAAAATGAGACCGTCATATCTTATCTTCATAGATACCCACTGTAGAATGCAAATTAGATGTGATAGCAAAGTTGGTTAACTTTTGGGTGCAGTAATGACTGAAATCAGTGTCTCCATTTATAGTTAAAAAAGACAGAATGATGAGCTCATAGGGGAATGCAAAACGTTGTCTAATCCACCTGGTGCCGTACTGGAGTAGGGAGTATTCATTTCAAGGGAAGGAGGAAAGCATGTGTAATAGACAAGAATTACAGCACTTCGTCTGTGTGAGGGCTAAAATGCAAGTTAACAAGGCACTGCGTGCTTGGCTTTTCTCTGGCTTGTCATTTGGTCAATTCTGAAGCTATGTTTAAGCTCCAGAGTGATGCTGGGACTTGGCATGGAATTGAGCTGAAGTACCATTCTCATTGTCCCTGAATTTTGACCTGTTCAAATTCAAATGCATTATTTTTATCTTAAAGTTGCCATGGAAAAGTGAGGTAACTGATCAATTTCAGCTTAAAAGTTGTTCATTGACACTATAGGTGTTCTCTTACTTATGTGAAGATGAACTACATTTCAATCAGCTGCAGTTAGTATTTCATAGTATGACACAATATAGTCTATCTAAAGCAAAGCTGTTGCTAAAGACTAAAACAGGGATCCAACTCCTTGTGTGTTCTTTTGTAGTCAAACACAGAGCCATTGATCAATTCCTTTACTTCCAAATGCTTAGATAAAACTCATTAATTGAAAATCAAATCCCATTATAACTGATCTTTTAAGCCATTTCATTAACATGAGTAGTTCTAATTCTGTCTTTTATTGTGTGCATTGTAGAGGAGCAATACATAATGCTCTAACCTCCATTGCAATCTCTATGTTTTACTTCGAAACAAGTCATACGTAATTTGATTAAGGTCTGTTTCTGATCTGTTAATTTCAAAGTTTGAAGTGCCATTTAGAAGAACCCAAGCAAAGCATAACATTTTAAATCAGGCACTGGAGACTGACTAGCTGCCACATAAGAGGCTGGTTAATACTGATATGATTAGGAAGTAAAAGATACTGAGTATAATATCTTTCATTTTATTTAACTGTTATCCTCTGGGAAGCAAATCTGTCAGAGAACAACTTAGAGTACTGTATTAAGATATTCCCCCTATAGAAAGCTAGTAAAGATCCTGGCAGAGTTAGTAAAGGAAAAGCAATGTGCACCCTGTTCCATGAGAAGTACGAACATGGGGGCCAGAGCAGGGTTTCCATGTTGTCTGAACATGTCCAGGATATCTCTGTGTATAAAGGGGATAAACACTTAAGCCTCTTTACAGTTTGTAAACACAGACACCACAACCATGCATGCCAATATTTGCAATTGGTATTATAGACTAAAAACTGATGTACACACACATACTGGAGGGCATATTGACATTGTGCAGTGGTGCGTGTTGCAGAGATCCCTCTGCTAGCAGCTGCCAAGAGGAATTCATAATAGGAAATAGTGTCATTGCATCAATATGAAGTTGCACCTAAGAGAATTTTCCTTTCTCTGAGGCCCTGACACCGCAGCATTGTGTTTGGGATCAGAGCTCTACCTAGACCTATGCAATGCCATAGGGCCATTGCAGCACTGTGTAAAGCCAGCTGAAATCTGGGGTCTGTTATGCAGTGCCTTAGTGACCCAAATCAAAAATCAATCTTTAAAAGCAATTAGTGTTTGCAGACTCAGAAAAATAAATGGTACAACTACTCAAAAAGTGGGTGAAATGGAGGACTATGCTGAGCAGTATCTATAAACTCTCAAAGGAACCTGTTGGTGATGCACAAACTTGAAAAATCTGCATTAATATACTCTGGTGGATACAATTCTGCTGAGTGACAATTTTTTGTTTGTTTGTTTGTAATAATGTAAACTACAGACCATGTATAATTGGAGATATAGATATATACTATTACCACTAGCAAGTTTTGTCAGAAGTTCTAGTATAAGACCCTTGAGTATATTCCCTTATCTTAAATCAGTAGCAGAAATTCTTATTTAAAA